AAACAACATTCCACACACATAGCCACCACTACACGACGACTAGTGGTGGCAGAGAAGGAAACAATGGCGGTAGATGTAGCGCCACAGATTCGGGCTAGTCAATTTAGAGACGATAAGCATCAAAAATAATTTTTTAATACAAGATTATGTAGAATAAATAATCTTAACTAAGTTTTAGTATATGTCACAAGGTTTCTGTACATATAAAGAACGCCGAAATCCGAGTTATAAAGAAGTTATGACCTGTCGAAGTTTCGCGACAAAACCGACACGATACCGGGAATCGTAAAAAGTGAGTTTACGATAAAGTACTTTTTAGCCTTAGGAGTCTAAATGAAAGTTGTAGAGTATGTATCCACCTACGCGTGGATATAAAGAACGTCAAAAACGGAGCTCGTATGCAAAAGTTATGACCTTTCGAAGATAGAGCTGTCTGAGAGCATGACACGTGTCAGAAACCCTAATCTGACTGGACTCACGATGTGAGCTTTATTCCTCATGATGTGAGGATTCAAAACGCCACATTTCGAAGCTAGAAGTCTACGAAACGATAACTCAAAAGCTCACGACGTGATCAAGGATTTATCACAACGTGAGGAGTCAAACGGACACTAATCGAGCCTAGAAAACACCTGGGAAGACTACGGGATGACTCTTGCCATGGCTCACGACGTGAGAGGCCAAAAACCAGCCTATAAATATCCATTTCTACCCTAAGCTTCCTTACACCTAAATCTCTTCTCTCTCTCTCTCTCTCTCTCGTTTGTTGAGGCCGTTTCCGCCTCCCGAGCCCGACGATCACGAACCACTGACCGTTTCTAGTTAGATTCTATCAAAGCACGCTAAGGTGAGTGCATATTTTTTTCATCTTACACATAGATATGAAGTATTTTATATAAATTACGTGCTATGTGTGCATATTATCTGTGTTCTTGATATCTATGCTGGATGAACAAAAATATACATGTTTTATTTGTCTTAAACTGTATATGTATTTTATACCTATAATTATGATGGGTAAAAGATGGGTAGATTAAAGATGAGATAAATGATGCGTGATGAAAGATAAGATGAATGATGAGCGATGATATATGAGTGGTAAAATATGGTGAGAAGCGATGAGCCAAGCGATGTGCCAAGCAATGACCCAAGCGATGGCTCCGTCATCTAGCAGAGTATGAACGACAACCACGGACTATTCTAGACACTCCAATGGAACACTAGCAGGCTCGCAACCTGTAGATGTTGTGAACGTCGTGTTCACCGGTGTACTCTAAAAAACCATTGACATGTATTTTCGGGTGGATTCCAAAAAATAATATTGTCGATAAATGAGCTATGGACTTAGCACCCGTTGGATGAACCCTGTCAACTATGGATTTAGTGCCTATTGTATAAACCGTGACGACGATGTACTTCGTGCCTATTCCTTAGGAAAAATCCTTAGGAATGAGTGGTAGATAATTCTTAAGGTAAATCCTTAAGAAATAAAGAAGATAACGGGGATGGGTAAATGGGTTAATTGTTTGATGATAAAACATAATAACTTTATTATTATGGGTTGAAAACCCTATGTACTCACCAGGTTTCCCAACCTGACTCACTCAAGTTATTTGTATCACAGGTGTCGATACGAAGCCACATCACACTGAGAGATTAAAGGAGATATAAATCACTAGTGTAAATGAATGTAAGTTCTGTTTATGCTTATGTTTCTGTATTGACGATGACATCCCAAAGTTTTAAAATGAATAAAATACATTTCTTCGGAAATGCCTTGATAGCATATTTATCATGTTTTTCTGGGGACAAATTCCGCAACACTTTTCTTTAAAAAGTTACTCTGGTTTTCAAACAAAGCATAAACAAATCGGTATTTTCTGGCCGTGAAATTGGGTATGTCACAGTAGCCACCATGGTGGTTCTCTTCCATTTCCGGCTGACCAAGCACATACACACGCCGATATAATCTGAAATACGCATCCAAACACGAGCAGAAACACCCGTACTCACGTGAAACACGAACACGACTGCCTCTCGGGGTGGCAAACGATGACCGGAGCAGCAACGAATTGCACAGGCGGCGGCGGATCAGTGACAACGCAACAACAGAAGAAGAAGAAAAATACGTCGGCCCTTGCGGTTCACAGCTTCGTTGGCAGCGGACAAGTAGCGGAAGGACGCCCATTCGCTAACCTCGTTGTCGGCGGTAGCGTGAGAATTGGCGGCGCTGAATGACAGCTCGCCTCGACGGCAAAGGAATTGGCCTAGAACGGTAGTGCCTGACGGTCTTGCTTGATCGGAAATGAGAAGGAAGGATGGTGCGGCTGGAGAATCATGAACGACGACAGTTGAAGAGATGGAGGCATAAGGTGGCGACCATGAATAGTGAAGTGGGGTTAGGGTTTGAATGAGAATTGGATGTGACGGGTTTAACCCGTGTTTAACTTCAAATTTATGCACATTTTACACTTCCAATCCCTCCTCCTCTTATTCTTTTCAAATTAAATCCAAATATTACCATTCAGCCCTCGACATTTCAATATCCTTTGAATTTAAGTCCCAATCTTACCAAACAGCCCCTGACTTCTGAAAATCTTTACAAAAAAAATCTTGGAGTTACACTATAACCCCCGAAAATCCAAATCATATCATTTGGCTCCCCGAATCCAACACCCTGCTAAATATTATTGATTTGGCTATAAAATAATAATAAAATTACATATCTGGGCTTTAGAGTTTACTATTTATTTGATTGATTTTTTTTAATTTCAAATGAAGTGTTACACAAACGTCCAAAAGCACAACAAGATGATGAGGTAGGAGCTTTACTGCCAAAAAAACACACCTAATGAGTCTTCTTCTTATTCTTCCAAGGGCCAAAAACCACCAAATAAGCTATTTAAGGTCACTAATGGAGGCTAAGAACATTTTGGGCATGAAGTAGGCGATGGAGGTTGAGGGTATGCAGACCCTGGCCTCCCACTTCACTTAATTAGGGAGCAAAACATGAGATTAGGGTTAGCCTGATCTTACGACGTGAACATCTATGTGTCACGTCGTGAACACCTATGTGTAACGTCGTGAACACATATGTGTCACGTTGTGCGCCTTAAGATGGCCACGTGTCTCCGCCTAAAGTCACGTCGTGAGACACTAACTCTCACATCGTGATTCTCTTAAAATTTGGGTTTTTCATTCTTAAATAATTCAAACATTGAAAGATCGAGTACCTGCAATAGATGTTACATATTTTAGGGGTATTCTGTCAATTTTGAAACCACTTGGTGGTAATTAATTACCGTTGATTACATATCTTACATTTTATGTGAATTACTACATGTAAACATATGTGCATCCACGAAAATGATATATTGAATCTATTTTGACCATGACTAAATGACTAGTGTTTTGAAAACGATTTTCTTCATGAACCTATGCATCCATTTAAGACAGGTAAAGAGTTTAATGCTTAGTGAAATATCAAGTATTATGACTACTTGCAGATGAAATACTACAGACTTAATATTAGCGATGACATTCTAGTTATGTCTCACTTGTACATGTAGGATGTCCATCTCATGTATGATACTTGTGATGATTTGATACTTGTATAAAAAAATACCGAAAACTAAAAAGGGAGTGATGTATATTAGGATTTGTGGTACCTATTACATAGGCTTCAAAGAGATATCTTAAGACTAAAGACTACTGAGAATCTAGACATGAGATGGCTTGAGAAGGGATAGAAGCATACTACATTTCCATATACATATGTTATAATACTAATGACGCTTATATTAAACTTCTAAACATTGTAAGATATTAAAAAACTATACTTATGATAATGAATCTTTTGATGAATGACTAAAGACTTATGTTTTATACACAAATATCTAATAAGGATGATTAATGATCAATGATTAAGGAGTATTGTAAAGAGCTTAATAATGATTGTATTTAATGAAAATAATTATTTTATCTCACTATAACAGTTTTAAAAAGATTTTTGAGGATTCTTATTAGTTTAAGGAATGTGTAAAGTAATTTGACTTTAAAAATGATAAATTATGATATTACTCATTAGGCATTCCTAATGCCTAAACTCTATATTTTAACATATATCATTCTCTAATAAATGAATGTTTTTTTGTCACTTGTCACACTCTCATTCAATTTGTCAAATGTCATTTTGTAGTTATTTTCAATTAATTTTTTATTCCATATGTCATTTTATGGTTTTTTTTATATTATTAATTCCACATAATATTTAAATGTAATAATAAATGAATATTAATTTACTTAATGAACTTTTCTTTTAATTTCAAAATTACTAAATAAAAGTTTCATTAATTTCTTTTATTTATTTATCTAAGTTATTTATTTAAATTTAAAAAAGAAAAAAACACTTTAATTTTAATAATTCAATATATTTTTTTATTATAAAATCAAATTTGTCAAATGTTTAGAATTATATATATATATATATATATATATATATATATATATATATATATATTTCAAATGAACCCATTTAATAATGTATTTTACACCTAACTAAGACTAATAGAGGAAGAAGACGTTAGACAAAAGCTTGTACATTTATAAGACCATGCTCGATATAGTGGTTTCTCTTCAAACTAATATTGTTCCCTCATAAAAAAAAATTATATTGAATTTACGAAAATAATCAACATATGCTTGTTTCATCGAAAAAATGTTTTTCTTACCATAAAAAACAATGTTGCAAATTTGTGATCATTTTGTAAAAATATGTTTTTATTTCATTTATGATAAAACTATATATACTTCAATTAATAAAAAAAAACCCCTAAAAATATAGCAATTAAAAACTAATTATTTACGTGAATAAAATGGCGACATACTTCACGCTCCTTGTTAAAATACCTCAAAACCCTAAACCCATTTCTGTTTCCAAAACCCTAGCCACACCTCATTCCGGCTAACCCCCTCCACCACCGACGCCAAAAAGAGCCGCCATGTCCGAGGTCGACCTCCACCGTTCTGATAAGAAGAAAAAGAAGAGCAAGTCGAAGGATACCGAGGCAACCAATGAAATATCTGATGGTGCCACCGCAGCCGCCGATTACCTGATCAAACCACAGAGCTTCACACCAGCTATCGACACTTCTGAATGGCCGATTCTTCTTAAGAACTACGATAGACTCAATGTACGAACTGGTCACTACACTCCTCTCCCATCGGGTTACTCACCTCTCAAACGTCCTCTTGCTGAATACATCAGGTACGGTGTTATTAACCTTGATAAACCTGCTAATCCTAGTTCCCATGAGGTCGTCGCTTGGATCAAACGGATCCTCCGTGTCGAGAAAACAGGTCACAGCGGTACTCTGGACCCTAAAGTCACTGGAAACTTAATTGTTTGCATAGATAGAGCCACTCGTTTAGTTAAATCCCAACAGGGTGCTGGAAAAGAGTATGTCTGTGTTGCTCGACTCCATTCCGACGTGCCTGATGTAGCCAAAGTGGCTCGGGCACTAGAGACACTAACAGGTGCGGTTTTTCAAAGGCCACCATTGATTTCTGCTGTTAAGAGACAGCTTCGAATTAGGACCATTTACGAAAGCAAGCTCTTGGAGTATGACGCCGAGAAGCATTTGGTTGTGTTCTGGATTTCTTGCGAGGCTGGTACCTATGTAAGAACTCTGTGTGTTCATTTGGGATTGATTTTGGGCGTTGGTGGGCATATGCAGGAGTTGAGAAGAGTTAGGTCTGGGATAATGGGTGAGAAAGATAACATGATAACCATGCATGATGTCATGGATGCACAATGGAGTTATGATAACTACAGGGACGAGACTTATCTCAGACGGGTGATTATGCCATTGGAGGTGTTGTTGACTAGTTACAAGAGGTTAGTGGTGAAAGATTCTGCTGTGAATGCTATATGTTATGGTGCTAAGCTGATGATTCCAGGTTTATTGAGGTTTGAAAACGATATTGAAAATGGAGAGGAAGTGGTGTTGATGACTACCAAGGGGGAAGCCATAGCTTTAGGTATAGCAGAGATGACTACTGCTGTAATGGCCACTTGTGATCATGGGGTTGTAGCAAAGATCAAGAGGGTGGTGATGGATAGGGATACTTACCCTAGGAAATGGGGGTTGGGTCCCACTGCTTCAATGAAGAAGAAGCTGATTTCTGAAGGGAAGTTGAGCAAACATGGAAAACCGAATGAGAAAACCCCATCTGAGTGGGTTAGGAATGTTGTTCTTCCTACTGGCGGTGATTCAGTGGTTGCCAGTCTTGCTGCTGCCCCCGCACCTGAGCAGACTGTGGTGGAGGGTGCAGAGGGTGTGAAAGTTGATAGTGAGAAGAAAAAGAAGAAGAAGAAACATAAGGATAGTGAAGAAGATGGTGATGAAGGGCGTAAAAGGAAATTGGAAGATGCAGAAGTTACAGAAACACCAGTGAAGAAACTGAAGGTTGAAGAAGAAGAAGAAGTTATTAAAAAGGTGGAAGGTGAGAGTACGGAGAAGAAGAAGAAAAAGAAGAAGAAAGAGGCTGATGAGGTGGAAGGTAAGCAAGAGAATGGAGATGATGATAAGTCTGAGAAAAAGAAGAAGAAGAAAAAGGACAAAGAAGCAGAAAATGGTGATGATGAAGGAGAAGAAGGTAAAAGTGATAAGAAAAAGGAGAAGAAGAAAAAGAAGAAGAAAGATGGAGATGAAGAGTAGATATAAGAATGTTGCAAGAATCCTGAGTGGAACTTTCAAGTTCCTGAATTCAGATCTATCCGATGGTATGGATTGTTGCATATTTCTGGAGATGACGATTTCAGGTAGCAGCTCTTGGTGGTGTTAGAGTTGATTTCAGATGTTTATGTGTTGTTTTTGCTTAATCAGTATGTGTTTTTGAGATATTTAAGGATTTTGGTGGCCCTATGGAACTTTTAACTTATCTTGAAATTCAGTTTTGATATTTATGTAGTTTCTTGATGTAGCAAAGTTGTTTTAAGGTTTTCACTTGGTATGAGTTTGATTTTAGATTGTCACCAATATAATATTTAAACATTTGAGCTAGCAAATTACAACATTATAACCTTGTTTTCATATCTTGATTGCTATATAAAGTTAGGCTTGTAATGTTTTTTCATTCTTGATGGCTTTTCCTGTTGAGCAACCAATCAGCACCTTGTGTTATTTTCTGATTGTCAAAATTCGGCCAATGATTAATATGGGAATGTAACTAAACATGAACACAACAATAGACCCATGAATCCCATTAGAATAGGATATCAGGTGAGTAGATGCTATGCTTCAACTTGGATAGAGCGACAATTCACATAGGTGACTGCATGTATATATGTACCCAAGCGTGTAAAAACTAAAAAGAGACATAAGAGGCGGGTGCACGGTTGTAAACAACTAACAACAAACATAAACATGAAATAAAGCAGTTACAAGCAAATCGGTATGAAACATATACCAATAAAGAAAAAATATGAAATAATGCAGGGAAGCAACTATACAAACACTACAAAGAATAAGATAAATATAAGGGACATCTGCTTTTTTCACTATCCTGATATCCATATCATCCAATCTGAGGTTGTGTACTCGAAAATAGACAATTTTTTCATGTCTAACTCATTATTTTCCCACTTCCTTCATGGTCGTCATTTCCTTATTGTATCATCAACACTCAACGGCTACACCCGTAAATTTTTTTTCTTTTGGCAACCTTCTTTGCACCTGCCTATAGAACCTGAATCTATTTTCTATTATTTTTTCAATGATCAACATCATTCCCAACAAATTCTTAATTACCGCGTTTGATATTTTATCCAACAATGAATGCTCTACTGTCGGGACATCCCCATTTCTACTACTTCCATATTTACTTGCTCCATTTTGGTCGTCCAACATTCAAACCAGACATCGCCTTAAAATCCTCATTTATATTAGTTACATCTTCCTTGCGTGCAACAGAACATGAATGTATTATTAAATATCTTTCTTAACAAGCAAATTTGTTTAACCCCTTTTTGATTAATTTTTTATGTTTTTCATACTTTATTTTCCATCTTGATCTGTGATGAAGTACCACGAAGGATTCTTTAAACTATGTTTATCAGCAACCAGTATGACACATATACCAACAAAGAAAAAATATGAAATAATGTAGGGAAGCAACTATACAAACACTATAAAGAATAAGACATATATAAGGGACATGTGCTTTTTCACTACCCTGATATCCGTATCATCCAATCTGAGGTCGTGTATTTGAAAATAGACAACTCTTTCATGTCTAACTCATATTATTTTCCCACTTCCTTCATGGTTGTCATTTCCTTATTCTATAAAACCTGAATCTATTTTCTATTAATTTTCAATGATCAACATCATTCCCAACAAATTCTTAATTATCACGTTTGATATCTTATCCAACAATGTTCTAATGTATGTCCATTGTGGCATCCCATTTCTACTACTTCCATATTTATCACTTGCTCCATTTTGGTCGTCCAACATTCAAACTCATACATCGCCTCAAAATCCTCATTTATATTAGTTTCATCTTCCTCGTGTGCAACAAAACATGAATATAATTATTAAATATCTTTCTTAGCAAACAAATTTGTTTACCCCCTTTTTGATTAATTTTTTTTTATGTTTTTTATACTTTATTTCCCATCTTGATATGTGATGAGGTCCCACATAGGATTCTTTAGACTATGTTTATCAGCAACCGGTCACAACTTATTCTTTCATTATATAGATATTTTTTCTTACATCCATATATAAAACCAACTAAATTCAATTTTTTTTATCATTTATCGACAACCTACCACAAACAACAATACATTTTATATAATACTTTTAGATATGATAAATAGTTATTAAAACGAAAAAGAAAAAAAAAAGATAGCGATCCAATATTGCCATGTGTATTCGTTGTGATCGTGAAATTTGGTTTACATGACACCTTTTCTTTCGATCGATTGGAAGTATTTTGGATTTAATTGTTTTCTTTTATTGTCTTGTAAACATGATCTGTTGGTGGACAACATCGATAAACATAGTCTAAGGAATTGGCATAACTAATCAGCTATGGACATGATACAATATTTCAAACACTTGCCAATCAAGAATTATTTAAATAATTCTGACATATAAACTGACTTTAAAGTCATACAGTTCTACCAAATAAGCTAAGGTCACACTAATCGTTCACAATAATTTATACTTAGGGTCTTAGGGACAATTTTTATAATTTTACTATTATACAATAACGATTTACAGTATGTAATTTTACAGATTAATAACGCCCTTGTAATTATTTGATATAACAAAATACAAATCCAAACACGTTTTAAATTTTCTAAAATAGAAAACGAAAATTCAATTCAGTTTTAACCAAGCTTGTAAAAATCGTTAGATGATACTAAATCTGTCGATTAGCGACTAGAGAATAATTTGTCTAATTGTGATTAGTTGGCAACTAGTTGGAGACCTTTTTAAATAGGAGGAGATTAATCGTAAATTGTTAGGCGCCGCTTAGCACACGACCGCCTAACCATTTGCGAAAACTGAAATGCTACTCCTCTTAAACTTTCCAAAAAAAACTGAAAACTAAGGTTGCGTTTAGTTACGGAAAAATAGTTTTCATTTTCTGTTTTTCGTTTCTCCTTTTCAGTTTTCGTTTTTCGTTTTCATTTGAAAATTTAGAAAACGCGTTTAGTTAAAACTTATTCATTTTTTATTTTCAGTTTTAGAAAAATAGAAAACGCGGTTAGATGTGTATATTTCTATCGGTTTTTATTTTTTAGAAAACGGTAGCGGTGGTAGGATGGGGATGGGGACAACGACCGGGGGGGGGGGGGGGGGCTGTCGATGATGGCGACGGTGGTGGTGATTGCGGCAGCGGTGGTGATGGGGTAGTGGTGGTGGTGATGGTGATGGTAGGTCGGTGATTGTTGTAGTGGTGTTGGAGGGGTGTGTGTGTAGGTGTGAGTGGGGGTTGGGGTGAGTGTGTGTGTTGGGGGGGGGGGGGGGATGGGCTTGGGAGTGGGGGGGGTAGGTGTGTGTGTGTGTGGGGGGGAGTGGGTGGGTGTGGGTAGGTAGGAGTGTGGTGGGTTCGAGGTGTAGAAGTGGGGGTAGGTAGAGGTGGGAGTGAGTGTGTGTTTACATTTTAGAAAAATTTTGGAATTAGAAAAATGTGGAAAACAATAATTATTGGTTTTCCAAAAATTTTCAACTTCTCTGTAATTTTAAAAAACGGAAAATTTTCATTTTCCGTGAAAAATTTAGAAAAATAAATGAACTAAACGCGTTTTCAAAATTCTCATTTTTCTTGGAAATTTTTTCCAGAAAACGTCCAATTTTTCCGCAACTAAACGCACCCTAAAATTCACCCCAAGTTTTCGATTTTGTTTTTTCTTCCAAACATTTACAAGTAAAATAACCTTTTCATAAACTGCCAACCAGAACCACAATCGCAATCGTTTTTCCTTTTTCGAAAAACTCAACAAGAATCCACAACTATCCATGTTAAAAAGATATAGAAAACAATAACTATGAACAAGCATAAGTTCAAGGAAGAACTTAACAAATATAAATAAAAAACCAAAGAATCAAACACATTTTGAACCCAAAATTGCAACATTAACTGCATGTCTGCATCATCATGTACACCTCAGCTCTAGTACGCAAGCGACTCTCTCAGTGACCAGGATTCATCTTCTTGTGCTGAGGGTTGCGAAACCTTGGATCTTTGGGCATAGTCGGTTGCTTTTCTGACCTACAAAAACACATTTTACCATAAACTTCACACAAAAAAACCATTGCATTTGTCTTTTTGTTGCTAAACTTTACCTTTTTGGGATGAAAGGTCTGTCAAAATAGGGCATTGGTTGAGCCTTGGGCACAAGCTCCTTCCTCAATCTCTTTAGTTCTTCCTCTTCTGCTAACTACACAACAAAATGGAAGAAAAGGCACATCATTGAAGAAGTGTATAACAAAATCAACACACCTTAACACTTGTCAAAAATCTACCTTCTGTTGTCTTTCTCTTTCCAGTTTGAATTGCTCAATGAATGAGAGCTTTTCTTGCACTTGATGGTCAAACTCAGCACGCTCCATGGCCCTCATGTCGCTATGTAGCACCAAATCAACTGGCCTAGTACTTTCTTTAACTGGTGGTCTTGCCAAACACTGAATGAAATTCACCACACTTTTGAGATAACTGATAACTGCTAAATCTTTATAATCTTACACCTATGATGATGAGTAAAAGCTTACTTACCTCTGGTTCGTCTGTTGTCCATGGGAGACCTTTGGCAACAGGAATCCTCTGTTTTTCTTGTTCAATAGTCATCTCCTGTACTTTCTTCATGAACTCTTCTTGCTTGGATCTTCCTCTTTGCTGTATATACAAGTAATATAACAGTTGAGTATATATACAACCAAACAAATAGTTTGATATGAAAATATATGATCGCAGGTTATAATTATAAATGCTAACCTCGGTTTTGAGCTTGAAGGGCTGTAGAGGAGTGGCTTTGGGTGTCCTTCTCTTCCCCCGGTTACCACCAAAAGTTGCAGAGGATTCAGAACTCTATATGATTAACAAAATTAATGTTGTATAACTCAATTTCACAATCAGAATAAAGAAAACGAAGCCATAGAAGAACGAGAGCATACATTTCGTCTGCTGCGTCTCCCACCACAAGAATTCCTGTTTGAAACGCTGAAAAGTACGCACAAGTCATTAAGAATCAAATCTAAAGAACAGTGAATGAAAATCTAAAGCTCGTTTTCAGTAAATACGTGAAGTTCAGGATCACCAACCTTTCATGGCTGCTACCTGATGAAGAAGAAGAAGCGCGTGAATCTAATCCCAAGCTCTCCGGGGTGAGGAAAAGATCCGGAGAAGAGAATTCAGTCACCGGAGTTTTGGGTCTCAACCCGGGCAATTCCCATTTCGGAATCTTTCTGGTGTCTTCGCCTTCAAGTTCCTCGTTCTGTTCTTCGCCCTCAGTATCCGTTTTGGATTTGGGTAACGTCAAAGCAGTTTCAAATGCCTTGACCAGATGCATCACTCTTCCGCGTCCATCTTCGGGAATGCTCTGTCTTGCTACTTCCATATATTTATCCCTTCTTCTCTTAACTTTTGCACTGACTGTTACACCAGATGCCTCAACAATCTCACATTCCCCTAATTTTTCTTCAAGTCCGTTCAAGTTATGGTTTTCAGTCATGTTTTTCTCTGCTTCTTCTTCTTTTGCAACTTCACTCCCGATATTAAAGAACCCCTCTTGAGAAGCCCTAAGAGTCTCATAAGCAACACACAAACACTTTTTCGAGTTAGAACTAGCTTTGCACTTACAATCGATGGATGGTGGGGTATTAGATTTCTCCCTCTTCGAATTCTTCTTCGCCACCACAAACTTCCTCTCCCGAATCTTGTTCCTCGGAGAAGGTGACGCAACCTGATTCGGTTTCTTCAACCCCGATTTCTGAACTTTAGTCGCCGATTTGATTGCTGGGGATTTTGATGCCTTCGGATCAGGACTAGTTACGTTAGGGTTGGCATTCTCAGGCAATTTTGACTTGTGTGAAAGCTTTGATTTGGAAGGTGTGAGCGTCACTGCTCCGGCGGTATTCCCTTGCATTTCCATCTTAAAGTCGCCGGAAAACGGGGAAGTGGCTGTACAACGGGAAGGAAAGAATAAAACACGGGTTTGGTTGTTTGGACGATCATGAATGATGGCGAAGAATGAATATAAGATAGATATGAACGTTTGAGGGGCGCTCGTGATAACGGCTAGTTTTTCTTAGTTTTGGTTTCATCGGATGTTTGTGTTCGGATCTAATTGCCGGCGTTAATGGGCTGGGCCTGTCAACGCGTCGTACACTCATACTATATACCGGGTTTCACTGTACAATCAAATTGGATGATTGTTTGTTTGTTTTTGAAAAAAACCTTTCAGACCTTTTATTGCTGTGCGGCACAGCACATGCGTAACATTTTTCATCTCGCAACTGTTTGTTTTTAAGAAGTCTTTCGGAGTAAAAAGCTTTTGCGCGTGTGCTGCGCCACACAACACTTGTATTATCTTTTCCAACCTCTTTCAACCTATTCTTCTTCTTTTTTTACTGAAATCTTATTTCACTTTTTTTTCTTTTTTTTTTCGTTTATTCTTATTGATTTTTTTCATTTTCTTTATATTGAATAATGATAATTTTTTGATAAAATATCATTATTTTTTGCTAAAATATCTTTATTTTTTATTGAAATATCATAAATTCTTGCCGAAATGTCATACACTATTAAATTTTCGGTATTAAAAAACTATTTTCAGTTTATAAAATCAGTTTATTTTAATTTTTTAATGTGACATCCCCAAATTTCACGGCCAGAAAAGACCGATTTCGTTTATGCCTTTTTTTTTAAATAAAATCAGAGTAATCATTTAAAGAAAACTGTTGCGGAATTTATTCCCAGAAAACATGATAAATACTTTATCCAAGCATCTCCGAAGAGATGTATTTTATTCATTTTAAAACATTTGGGATGTCCTGGTCAATACAGACACATAAGCATAAACCGAACTCACATTCATCTACATTAATGATATACATTTCTTTAATCTCTCAGTGTAATGTGTCTTTGTATCGATACCTGTGATACAAAAATATTGAGTGGGTCAGGTTTGGAAACCTGGTGAGTACATAGGGATTTCAATCCCACAATGTTATAACATATATATAATTTAGAATTCACACAATATAAAATTTTCTCTCTATATATATATAACCAACTCTTACCCCACCCCGTCAATCCTCTCAACGAGACTAAAAAACTAACCTCTCGACCTGATCCATACTCCCGGATCTAAAACTAACCTCTCGACCTGATCCATACTCCCAGATCTAAAACTAATAACTATGTCCTGTCCATACTCCCGGACTAAGGACAACTGACTATGTCTTAATCCATACTCCCGGATTAATGACAACTGACTAAGTCTTAATCCATACTCCCGGATTAATGACAACTGACTAAGTCATAATCCATACTGCCGGATTAATGACAACTGACTAAGTCTTAATCCATACTCCCGGATTAATGACAATTAACTAAGTCCAATCCATACTCTCGGACTAGGGACGAATAACTATGTCTAATCAATGCTTCCGGATCAATGACATATTTTAAAGTTCTATTCTCCGTATATATCTCACTCGTACACATAAATAGATACTACCCCATAACCATTATAGCAAACCTTAGGTTTACTCTTTAACCTAAGTTATCATAAACAATCAGGTATGTTCTTTAACACTTAATTCAGACATCATCAAATAACTCACACAAAACATATATTTAATACATTCAAACAATACTTGTATTAAAATCATGTTAATGAAAGGGACTATGCACTCAATTGATAAGACGACGATTGGACAACACTTCGTCCCTTAAAACAATATTCTTCGATGAAACCGGGATGTTTTCTCAAAAACCGGGCTTCACGCGGGAAGAGTTTCGACTCGAAAACTCTTTGTCTCTGGATCTTCGGGGCGTCGGGACTTGCTTTGGGTGTCGAGGATGATACCGGGGCTTCGGTGGGGGGGGGGGGGTTAAAAGTGGGCTAAAGAAGGTTTATAAAGTGGGAGATATCGGAATTAGCAAACAAATCCCGAAGGCTTCGTTTTCTATTTATAGGGTGAAATTTTGAGATTCACGACGTGAACCATGTATGTTCACGTCGTGAATTCGATCCTGGTCACCCCCTAGGCTTGCCGTGTGTCTTCTAGGCTCGAAACGCGTCGTTCACTGAGTTCACGTCGTGAACACTGTTTTCACGTCTTGGTCTCTGACACAGCTTTGGGGTTCGCGCCCCGAACTTCAGAAATTCATATCTTTCGCATACGAACTCCGTTTTCGACGTTTTTTATATCGACGCGAAGGTGAGATTATGCTCTACAACTCTCGTTTAGACTTCGTCGGCTAATTTTAACTTTATTTTTATTATATTATTTTTAGTAGGCCGGGACAGAAAAACTCTGTTAGAAATTCATAACTCCTTCATCTGACGTCCGTTTTCGTCTGTCTTTTTACCGTTGGACTACTATCGACGAGATCTTCGATTCTCGTTTAGATTGTTTCAGCTAGAAACCACTCGATCTCATATTTGAACTTTGGGCTGCATACCGCTAAGTCGAAACTTCGAAAAATCATAACTTCCTCATACGAAGTTAGATTTAGACGTTATTTTTATGCACGCTCTCGGTTTAACGTATTCTACGAATTTCGTTTATATCGCTAAGGCCAAATATCGCTCTATCGTAATTTCACTATTTACGTCGCGTTGTGTCGTGCCGGTTCTGTAGCGAAACTTCGACAGGTCATAACTTCTTCGTTATAACTCTGATTTCGGCATTCTTTATATTTTCGGAAACCTTGTGACATATACTATGATTTGGTTAAGATTATTCAGTCTAAATAATCTTTTATCAAAAGTCACTTTTGATGCTTATCGTCTCTAAATTGACTAGCCCGAATCTGCGGGCGTTACAATTATCTCCCCCTTAGGATGCTTACGTCCCAGAATCATCAACGAAATAGGTCTGGTATAATGATTCCATACGTCATCTTTCCATCCTAAGTAATAACCGTGATGCTAAATCTTGCACCTGTTCTTCGTACTATGTTGGACTTTCAATCATAACCTACAAATTACAAAATAAATCCTTATTGAGGACTCTTTCTTCTTTTTAGGATAAGTACTTTCCTTTATCTATTGTAACAGATCGATGGGTCATGTTCTAATGACCTCTCATCGTATGATGCAACGCTTAGACTCAAGTCTCTTAGAGTCAAATTCCAGAATGGAATATACCTTCCTTCATATTCTAATGTGATATAATCACATTTTAGCATGTAGCATTTCTAGCTACAAGCTTCTTTAACAACGAGCGCGATGCTATTGATTGCATTGATTTCAATCTTCTGACTTAAGTCAGATGTTACATCGAACTTGGTTCTCTGAACCACGTAACAAACTCATCGTAGTCGGACTCAATTTGATATGACCACTAGGGTCGGAATAACAATCATCTTATTATTCATTACCGAAACAATGGTAACGACATACTCGAATAAAACGAGATCAATTACTAGCTTCTTGGTAACCTTGTGACTTTCCCTTATTCAAGTGTGAGTCCTGTGCTTCGAGTAGTATAAATCTCTACTACTATTCACACCTACTCATACTCGTCCCAAGTATTGTCTCGCAGTCCCCAAGTCCTAAAATCACAAAACAATTTAACACATACGAATGTGTACAATTAATCATAAAATTTTCCTAGACTCTACTAGGACTTCTTCCATGCGTATCTTCAATCATCAATTCTACTTCAACTCGGTTGGTGATGGAAATTCCAGACGATGGGACAACTTCAAGAATTACACTAATCGTTCCATCATCCTGCCAATCGAAGGTTTACTTCAGACGTACCATACTCCTCTAAACGTTCCGTTATTTTATCAGACACATTCTAAAGGCAAGATACCACTCTTACGATATCTTCCAATAGGTGTCATTCACCATCGTGAGCCTTCTCATTTCCTCAATTTACTCAGTTCACTATGAGTCTTCACTATGACGTTCTATAGACCAAAGCAGACGTTCGGTGTATCGAGACGAGAATATAGATAGAGGAAGGTTTAGACGTGTAATCCTCCTTATTACTCCAAAAAATTACATGTCAATTATAATATCGTAATTAAACGTTTAGAATCCCGAGCACATAACATTTCCAGATCCGGCCGACAACAGACCATAGATCCGAACAAATAACATCATATATGGCAAACATATAACATTTAGCACATAAAAGTATTTTAGGCAACTTTCCTAAAATATACTAGTGCTCGTGTCTAAAATATGGTAGACACTCATCTCACGATCATCACTTAGCATTCTAAGTTTAAGTCTAGAAATCCTACAAATTCCTAGTTAGCTTAAACTAGTGCTCTGATACCAACTGTGACATCCCCAAATTTGACGGCCTGAAAAGACCGATTTTGTTTGTGCTTTTTTAAAAAAAAAAAAAATCAGAATAATCCTTTAAAGAAAACTGTTGCGGAATTTGTTCCCAGAAAACATGATAAATACTTTATCCAAGCATCTCCGAAGAGATGTATTTTATTCATTTTAAAACATTTGGGATGTCGTGGTCAATACAGACACATAAGCATAAACCGAACTTTCATTCATCTAAACTAATGATATATACATCTCTTTAATCTCTCAGTGTAATGTGTCTTTGTATCGATACCTGTGATACAAAAATATTGAGTGGGTCAGGTTTGGAAACCTGGTGAGTACATAGGGATTTCAATCCCACAATGTTATAACATATATATAATTTAGAATTCACACAGTATAAAATTTTCTCTCTCTATATATATAACCAACTCTTACCCCACCCCGTCACTCCTCTCAACGAGACTAAAAAACTAACCTCTCGACCTGATCCACACTCCCGGATCTAAAACTAACCTCTCGACCTGATCCATACTCCCGGATCTAAAACTAACTTCTCGACCTGATCCATACTCCCAGATCTAAAACTAATAACTATGTCCTGTCCATACTCCCGGACTAAGGACAACTGACTATGTCTTAGTCCATACTCCCGGATTAATGACAACTGACTAAGTCTTAATCCATACTCCCGGATTAATGACAACTGACTAAGTCTTAATCCATACTGCCG